CCCCAAAACCCCAAAACCCCAAAACCCCTGGGTTTGAATCGAATTGAAAATTCTAAATTAGAATCCATCTTTAGGTTTCGTGAGAAAATAGAGACAAAACACGGTGAACCCAGCCATCGTGGTTAGGATTAGCATTGGGAATGGCGCATGAAGATCAGATAGCAGGAAGGATAGCACAGTTAGAGACCTTGCCCCTATCTGGCATACAGAGAAAGCAAATGGAGCAAATAGAGGGGGGAAGTACTCGGTTGTGATAAAATAAGCCATATTGAAAGATCCAGCAAGGCCTATTTGAGCAAGACCGATACTTATTGCCATTAAGTTGTGGCTCTGGATAAATATTAAGCTCGTACCTGAAATGAACACCAGGGATATGTATATTAAGAGGGTTGACTTTGAGCTGAGCATGCTGCGTACAGTTCCTCCAGATAGTTTCCCTAATATACCTCAAAATCCGAAAGCCCATGCGTTGTAATATAGGTTTCCTCCAAAATTTCTGATACTAAACCCAAGCAGATAAGTGTTGAAAGAGGCACAGATCCAAACCATCATGATGATAATCAAGTTCCAAAACACTTTGGGGTTTTCTTTGATAACATCATAAGGATCCTCTTTAATCTCTTCCTTTTTCCTTAACTTCTTGATATTTTGAGTCTCTAAAGCATCTGAGGGGTTATTTTGTTGAACTGGAGTTTGTAATCAAACATTCCCGGAAACTCCATTGCCCAGCACTGTCTCGTCATCTCTTACATGATGAACTTCATTCTCAAAGAACCAGTCTCCTTGGCTAAGCTCTTCCTTGTTATTCCACTGGGCAATCTTCTTCAAGACTTGTTTTGATTCTTGATAACTGTGTTTTTCATATAAATAATTCGGTGATTCTGGTATCATATGAGACAATATGGTGCCTAAGAAGGCTATGATATAATAGCCTAAGAATATGTATTCCCAGTTCTTGCTCAGGAATTTGAAGTATAATGCATTAAGGGGAAATACCAGCCCATCGATGACCATAGTGGCAGTGGTGATGTAGATTTTGTAGTTGAGCAAAGTAAATTCTGTAGCTAATAGTAATGATTGAATGGATCTTAAATATGTAAGCCCAAGCAAGAGGCAGAACCCATATTTCAAATAAAGATTAGTAGTGAAGACGAGTCCAGAAAATGCGATAAGACTGATCCAATTACCTATAATCATATTCATCCTTCTACCATATTTACTTGTTGTGATCAAGATAAAAGAACTAAATATGACTCCTAGGAAATAAAAAGAGCCAAATAGGCTACTTTTCCAAGACGGTTCACACTGAATTCTCAGTTGTGAAATCCAATTATAGATTGTTTTCTCATTCTCAGTATCCAGCACAACACTATGCCTTAAATTACCATTAAAGCATATATCATGGGGCTCTGATCATTGAAAAGTACCCCCTAGTCCATCAGGGCAAAGATATTCCTGCTTTAAAGTAAGGAAGGTTATACTGTATAAAAAGAATCATGTGACCCAGAAATTTGAGGTTGCGATGAATCAATTAATCAGCTGAAATTTTCCAAAACTCCCTGCTTTCTTGAGGGCTTCCTCCATTGTATATGTAACTTCCATATTGTCCAGACCGCTGTAAATTTAGTTTGAAAATATTCAAACTAAATATTTGAGTGGGGTTTTGGGGTTTTGGGGTTTTGGGG